AAGAGAAAAATACGCATTTTACTATGTTTAATTAGTAAATTTTGACGTCGTTGCATTATTTCTGATTGCCACTGTATAAACTATTTAATTATATTTATTAAAAAATTAAGTACAAATAATTTTTAATATAAGAAATTTTCGATATAATTAAAATTTAATATAAGAAAATTAAGCTAAAATTACTCTTTATAAATTTACTTAAAATAAGAAAGTTACTAATAAACTTTTAATATAAAAAAGTTTTGTAAATTTTTATTATAAATTTAAATATCAAGAATTAGTTTTATTATTTATTTTTTGTTATAATTAAATATAAAATCTTGAAAACTAAGTAAATATAGCATATATTTTAAATAAAAAACAAATAAGTTTTATAAGTATTTTCTTAAATTTCATAATATTATTTTTTAATTATTTTATTTATTTAATAATAAATTAATTCCTATTAAATTAATTAATTATTATTATTATTTGTTGATTTTTGCCACAAACTTATAATTATTATTATATAATTTTTAATTATATTGCAAAATTATATTTATTATAATTAATATAATAATAAAGTTATTAATATTTATTTGTTTATAAATTATTATTAAAGTTATAATTGTATTTATTTTATTAAAAAGCTTTCTAATCTTATTCTGGCTGATTATAAAAATGAATATATTATTTATCTTTAATAACTTTATTATAAAATCTTTAGTTATTTATTATCTTTTTTATCTAACTTAAATTATATAAAAGATATATATATATTTTTAAAGTTTTATAAAACATATTCAAATAATAACAAAATATAAAATTATGACTCATAATAATATTCAAAAAATAATTCATTTAGCAAATTTGTCTTTGTAAATTAATTTTTATATAATATATAAATATATAAGTAATAAATTTTGATTAATATTCATATTATAATTGTTCAAAATTAATATAATAAAATTTGATTTACAATTTTGTTCATTTTGATTTGTTACAATACAATTATTTAAAAGCTAAAAACCTGTTCTATAACTTTACTTATAATACTAAAGATTATTGGCAAATAGATTTTTTAATATAAAAATCAAATTAAAATGGTTAATAATAACATACAAACAATATATAAATAATATATAAATAATAATTGGATTAACAATATTTTTGAGTGATATTTGAATATTGTAATAACATTTCCTTGGTTAATAATGGTTGAACAGTCGCCAAAGCAGTGAGAAAATGACTCATTTTCTTCAAAATAAAAAAAAATTAATCTCATTTATAAATATATAAGAAAATTGACACATCATGTAAATTACCACTTTATCCACTATATGGAATTGTTTTAGTGCAATGATTGCAGCTTCACGGCAAACGTTCTTCAAATCAGCACCCGTATACATTTCAGTCTATAAATGAAAATATCAATTAATTTTTCTATATTACATACTAGAAGTATAACATTATATAACTCCTATCATCATTATTTCAAAATTGACCTTTTTAGCTATAGAATCAAGATCCAAATCATTGCTTACTGGCATATTAATAGTGTAAATTTTTAGTATTTCACGACGTGCTTGTAAATCTGGAGGTGGAACCTAGAAATTTAAATGAGAATATCTTTCGTTTTGGCACACAATAGAGGACATAAGAATGTTATAAAAATAAGCATACATATATCAGTTTATCAAATCTGCCTGGCCTTAATAACGCAACGTCCAATAAATCTGGTCGATTTGTTGCCCCCTTAAAAGAATAGAAATAATAATAACAAAAAAAAATGGCGGAAGCATCAGACTGCCGCGAATAGTCAAAATGTCAAAGACTGCATTCACAAATATTTGAATAATTACCACCACAAGTACAGAAGTCGCAGATTCAATACCATCCATCTCATTCAAAAGCATCGATAAAACTCTTTCTTGTACACTATCTCCATTGCCACCAGCACCCGCATGACTTTCTCCCATCGTCCGTTTTCCAACTATCGCGTCAATCTCGTCAAAAAATACTATTGATGGAGCAGTCAAACGAGCACGTTGAAAAGTAACTCGGACTGATTTTTTTAAATTAATTACATTGCCATTATTAGAGGATAAAATCTTCATAATAATTAAATAGTAATCCCACTTACTATTTTTTTCAGAATCGCCGAGATATGAGGAGTAAAGTTGTGCACCGTTGATTGAAAGAAAAGTTGCACCAGAGGTTGAAGCCATCACTTTTACCAGAGTTGTTTTACTACATCCTGACGGACCATAAAGTAGAACTCCACGGGGAGGTTTTAAGCCCAGTCGCTCGAAAGTTTTACGATGTTTAATTGGCCATTCAATAGCCTGTTTTAATTTCTGACGGCGAAAAAAATATTTTTCGTATGATTATATCGAAATTGATTATTCTTATTTATTTTACCTTTTTTACATCTTCTAGGCCTCCGACATTTTCCCAGCTGGTTTTTTCGACATCAACATGGAATCCACGTTGCATGGACGGTCCAACACGAGACAATGCCGTCTTAAAATCAAATATTGTTATCGGGGTGAGATTGATGAGAGGATTTCTAACGCTTTACAAAATTATTTAATTATAGTTGTTATTGGTAGTTATTAATAGCTTATTATATATCTCTATACCTTGCAGTAGTGTGCCGATGTATTGCGCTCATCGCAGCTTCTCTGCATAATGCTGCTAAATCAGCTCCAACATATCCATTAGTCAAAGACGCCAACTTCACTACAAAGACAAAAATGAATTTAATACGAAGAAATAGAATTATTTTAGTTATAATAATCCTTACAAAGATTCACGTCATTAGCCAATTTCATGTTTTGAGTTTGTACCCCTAGAATCTTAAATCGTGCCTCTTCGGTTGGCACGTCGATTGCAACTTCTCGATCAAATCTTTGTTATAAAAATTATTAAGAGCTCTGTGATAATACACCGGGATAATCTAGAAAGCTTGAATGAATTTTATATTAACCTTCCAGGTCTTCGCAATGCAGGATCAATTGCATTAGGACGATTAGTTGCGGCAATAACGACTAATCTTCCACGCGATTCCATACCATCCATTAACATTAAAAGTTGTGCGACAACACGTGACTCATGAGGTTGAGATTCTGTTCGATGTGGAGTTAAAGCATCCTTAATTGAAAATTATATAATAAGTCTATGACATACATGCTAGAATGCTTAATCCAATATATACAAACCACTTCATCAATAAACAAGATAACTGGATAATTTTCTTCTAATGTTAAACGTTGAGCAAACATAAATTTTTCTCGAAGTTTTGTTTCACTTTCTCCGACATATGAACCATAAATCTCGGGACCATGGATTGTAATCTAAATTTGTTTTTGCAAAGATATTAAATCATATTTGAAATTTAAAAAAACTGTGAAACAGACCATTTTGGCGTTACAAATCTTGGAAATTGTAGCCACAAGATAAGTTTTTCCAACTCCGGGTGGACCATAAATCAATACACCTGTAAAAACTCAAAAAATAAACTGTTAGAAAAAAGTTTTGATTATTGGGATATAGCAAAAAAAATTTAAACCTTTAGGACACTCGATATTAAGTTGGCTTAATAAATCCGGATAAAATAAAGGGTAACTTATCATTTCAAAAAGTGATTCATATGCTTTCTCAAGGCCTGGTAAGCTCGATGGAGTTTTTAATGTTCTTTGCGGAATAATTGATGTGTTTAAAGTAGCCGTTGATGTAACTGCTGAGTTTATTAAATTGTCATCTTGTAAGGATAATGATACTACCGAAGAAATTATTTGTTGGATTGAATTATCCTCATTATTGCTAGACGTATTGGATGATTTAAATTCATCTTTATAAATTATTATTTCTGTGTCATTTCCAACTGAAGCTTCGTTATTCTTTTGAGAAACAATCTCACGAATCTTTAATATATGATCTAATTAATTAGTAGCGTTAATAATTTTTTTGAATTACTTGTAAATTATAAAATTACTTTAATCTTTAAGCATCGTCTTTCATCATGAATTGTGCATCCTTCACATACTGTAAGCCCTTTTAACATCGATCGAATAGTCTTTGATAATGAAAACATACTGTGATACATTTTAAATAACAATAAATAATAAATTTTCATTAATTAATATCATACGTTTACTTGAACTTCATCATTCCCGCTCTTCCAAATAAATCCGATATCATTTAATTGTATCTTTTCACTCATCCGTCGTTCATTAATCTCATCGTCTTCTTTATTTTCCACAGGAAGAATAACATCGGCCGAAACTATTATTTTACTTGCAATCTCTATTGGATACTTAAGAGGTGTGATTAAACCTATTTGTTTTTTATAATCATCATAGTCATACGAAATAAGGTTTATGAAAAACGCGTAATCTACAAAAAATTTATATTTTTCTTACATTTACTATTTTCGCTAAACATCAATGATGGCAATGATTTTCTAACCATCAAGAGTGTATCCGCTTGTATTATACCATCGGGAAGTCTTGGATCCGGCCAAATTTTACAATAAATAATCATCTTTATTAAATCATCGAAATTTGATTAAAATATTTTTTAAAATAATCATTGCTTTGCCTAAACACCAACCCTTTCACCAGGATTTTCCTCATTATCATTTTGATTAATTATTTCAATTTGAACCCATCTTCCAACTGTAGTTTTACATGCTTTAAGCACCTGACTGGATGCCCGGCATCTTGCAGAACCCAAATCATCTGGTACAGGTGGCTTTAGATTGTAATGACGAACTTTTTTTGATGTAGTATCTAATTGCATTGGGACTTGGATCCAATATTTACATCGATAATCCAATTTTCACTGATACTTTTTTCATAAAAACATGAAACTCATGTGATATGCACGCGATATTCGATGTTAATAATTGGGTGCATTCTGTATTATTTATGTTCAAATTTACATGTTATCAAAAAAGTAACTGCATCTGTCAAACCGATAATATTGGTTTGACAGATGCAGTTAACTTTTTTTTGATTTCACAAGGAAAGTTTATTGAATATTAATCAAAAAGGCGTAGGCCGAGATTGTTGCAAAGAAAAATGCGACTTTACTATGGCATGTGTCAAAAAACAGAATCTAAATTTAGGTATTTATTGTAATGCTATCAAACAAAAATAAACAGACCCTATAAAACAAGGGTGTAATATGCAGGTGATTTTTGATTGTAATTTATATTGAAAATGTGAATTCTTTGATTTGGTGGTTTACGAGTGAGAATTAAAGCAATGTCAGTCAATCCAGCTATTAAAAATTAATAAAAAAAAGAATAATTACTTACTTTTCAGAGTTAAAAAAGTAATGACTTATAGCATTCGTTATGATCCTATGAAAATTGCTAAGAATAATCTATAACTTTTAATATCGACTAAAACTCAAATACCTTTCCAATTTTCTATCAAAGCTTACCACTGTTCCCTTCACTATTCCCTTCACTATTCCCTTCACTATTATTATCACCAATCAAACCAACCTCCAAATCTTCTGGTTGATAGAACCGATGATTAAAAGGTAAATACGGCGACACCGCCCACGGCAGGGGGTAGTATTGCAGATAGCAAAATGCGGCAAATGTTATCCCGAGTATTCCACCAAAAGTCACGTCGTGCCAATGATGTCGATAGTCGTTCGTGCGTGAGATTGCTACGAGTGTCGCGACTACATATGGTGCAGTGATGACAAATGATTTGTACGTGTGACCACGATTGTCGCATAGGTGTAGTTTTCCGGCGAGGTAGAATGATAGATATGCCATCCCTGCGAATGCGGCTATTTTTTATGTTGAATCCGTATTTTATATTTCGAGTGATTGAATGCGAGATTCACGAAATTAGTTAATTGATAAATAATATAATAATATATAATATAAATTTTGAAATGCTTACTTGACGAATGACCAGAAGGAAAACTTTTAAATGCTTCATTTATTTTTTTTGCATCACTATTATTCCATGTACAAATATCCGAGTTACTTAGACCATATGGTAATGCATCAGTTGCATTTTTTATTGGTTGACAACGAGCAATGAAATCCGGACGTGGTCTACCGACTGTAATCTATTGATTTATTATTCACTATTTATTATTTACTTAATTATGTTAAATATCGATAAATAGATTTTTTCACCTTTATCGATTGTGTCACTACAGTTGTCAATGTAAGTGCAAGTAAAAGACCCAAACTCGCGTTATGGAAATCAAGGATACTTTTTTTGATTACTAACGACGTGAACATTATTATCAGTAACGGTACGACACCAGAAATGATCTAGAAAAAAATGTAATTAATCTTTCTATTAATTATATTAATAAGTAATTTAATTATCAATTAAATTAAAAAAAAATTAACTTACGAGTAACGCCCACATAGGCACCCGTTCTGTCTCAGCATAAGGAAATTGAATTGAAGGATCATTGATTGAGAATACTCGATGAAACGGCGGTAGGAGGTCAATTGCATAAAATGCTGCCAAGAAAAAGAGTGGCAACACCCAACTAGAATTTTAATCAGCATAATTAACGATAATGATCCATAATACATAATTGCCGTATCATCAAATAAGCTCAATTGAGTAAATACTTGATTGATGAATTATTTATTACAATACTGGATACTCACTCTTTAGAATAGGATAGCAGTAGCGTTTTTCTGGTATATGGTATACGAGGTTTCATCTTTTTGCAATGTAATAATGTTGTTATCTATCAAACTCTTATTATACTTAATACAAAGAAAATTAATTATGAAAAACTTCGAGAGAAGAATAACACTTTACTTATATATAAGCATTTCTAACAAGTTGTTTACACCACACCCATACTTCACCATTTACAGAGTGGCTAAAACTAAAAAAAATGCCAATTTGGGGGATCGGTTAAAGCGTAGTCCATCCGATAATCTGTCCGAAAAACAAACCAATGAGGATGCGTAAATTTTTAATCAACCCGACAAAACAAATTTGAAGCAAAGACGAAAAATACTGAAAACAGGTGTTTAAATCTTTCTTGGAGCACTAATTAAAAATGTCGGGAAGGCAATTTTAAATATAACTTTGATCTCCTTCCCTAACCCTAACGTTGAAATTACCTTTTAATATTTTTAATATATATCACGTGATGGACTACGCTTTAACCGTTTTCCCAATAAGGATGTGCAAATTTTTTATCAACCCGGCAAACAATCCGGAAAACGGATATTCAAATCTAATTTGGGAACAATCCAAAATAGCATTCTTATTGGTTTGCGCCACCAACCTGGTACACATTTCAGGAGTGCCATATCTGGAATGTGTGACAGGTTACGCCGAATATATTGTTTGATGTATATGGCACAGGCGACACAAACCAATAAGGGCGCAAATTTTTGCTTAGCCCGGCAAACAAATCCGGCAAAAAACAAAATGCGAAATAAATGCCTCTAAATCTAGCTTGGAGTACTAATAAAAAATGTCTGGAAGACAATTTTACATAACTTTGTCCTCCTAACCCTGATTCTAACTTTAAAATAATTTTTAACATTAATTTCCGAATTTTTCCGGGATCGGCGTAACCTGTCACACTGCCAAATAATTATAAAAAATATAAAGAATAAGAAAGTCAATAAGTGAATTAATAAACCAATGAATTTCTTTACAAACCTCTATTGCTACATCTTTACATCTCGTAGATTTCCATTATATACATAAGCATAACTCACAAAAAATAATGATGATTGTGACAACAACAACAATGATATATATATATATATATAATGTTTTTTTAGAATTATTGATCATCTTGTGTCTTTGGTATTTAATTTTTCACCGAATTTGATTTGTTTAAATATCATTTATTTATTCTCTTCGCATATAGTACTCTATTGCCGTCGAAAATGCAGCAAATCCTGCACATCCAAGAGCAGTCGCTTGAGGTCCAGCTCTAGCGGCCAGTATAGCCCCGGTAACACACCCAGCAGCAACACCGTTATATATATCATTTTTAGCTCGATACTATTGATAAAAATAAAAAACAAAAAGAAATGTTTATTCTTTGATTATAAACTCTGATTTTTAGGTAATAATATAATAACTTGATAAATTGGCACTAAATACCCACCCCTTCTATTATACACTCAGTACTAGAGAAAATTGCCCCGACAACCGCAAAATTTTTCGCCATTGAGAACGATTTGTTTGCCATATCTTTTGCCGTGTGTTTAAGCTGTTGTCGCATCGGTTTTTCGAGTACTGCTGGGTCTGCGGACGACATTTCAAGCGATGACATGAACATTCCGAATACTCCTCCTAACACAAATCCTGAATAATAAAAAGTGTATTTTTTTTGGTGAGAAAAAAGTTGTATTTTAATAATTCAAGTAAGAATCAAAACGTAAACTTTTAAATAAATCAATTAATAGTCAATGAATGTATACTAATTGATTAATTTGTCTGCACGGAACAAATAAACTCGATTTTCATTTTTACCTCCTGCTAAACTAAGTATTGATTTGAATATACATGATTCACTTATTTTCTGAGCATAAATTTGATCCTGTGGCAGTGGTTGGTGTTGAGTTGGATGTCCTGGAAAAGACATTTTTATGTATACTCTGTCTCTTCTTTTTTTCAAGAAATTTATTCGAGATACAAGTCATTATGTGTCATAAAATCTATATCACTTGACAAAAAATTTAGCGCATGATTCGCAGCTGATGATATACGATTTATACGATGAATTAGGAACATGTAGCTATTTCAAGAAATTCGTTAAATTGAGCCTGATTTTTATATGTACTCTTATGGAAAGGGATTTAAGAGTGGTTTCGTTAGATCGCATAGTCATTAAATCGAGTTCTGACTGTATGATGGGCGGGTCTCGATTTACTGTGTATATTCTTTAATACTTAAAGTATTATTTTATCGTTACCGTTATTGATTAAGTGAGGTTTTGGCTTAATTACAAATTAGATCGTGATTTCGAGAACTTTTTTGGCCAATGTGCAATAGATGTCTGGATCTATTTGTACATGTATATGTACATATTCCTATTGCGAATCAAGAAAAAAACAGTTTCTTGAACTCGGTTTTTCACCATCTAAAATCAAATCAAATATTTTTGCTTTTCTCATCATCTCTTATTGTTTTACTATTAATTATTAATTGTTTACGCTTATATACTTTCGCACCATCAAGAATCAAAGCCGAGAAGTCTATTAAATCAATTTAAAACAATGCCGAAAAATTTTACTTATTATTATTATAATTCATTCATAATGAAAATGATCATCAAACGTTTTATTATTTAATTTTTTATTGTTACATAATATTATCATTTAATTATGTATTATTGTTACTCTCTAAACCGTTCACTAAAACCATGTGACAAAAAAAAACCCTAACCCTAATTAAAAGTGGATTTCCCGACTCGATTAATAATGAAAAAAGTCGCTCACTCTAAAAGGAGGATAGACTTTGAATTTTATCGGTTTTAATTAATTAATTTATTTAATTTATTTATTCTCCGTCTTCTTTATTTTCGCTACTGCCAAATATATTTTTCCTCCCTCTATGTATGAAGATCAAACTGTACTTTTTAAGATTTAGTTCAAATTGTGAAAAATTTGGCAAGTATTTCCGAGTGACACAAAGTTTTCTCTCTTTTTATAATTACAAATCACACAGTGAATAACTTGTATAAATATGGAAAATTGAAAGAACCATCCCTTTCTCGTTTTTCAAAGATTTTTTTTATTAAATAAAGAAATCGCTCTTATCATTTGATTTCTCTACCTCTGTCTATTAACTATTGTCATTATTGTTATTGTTGTTGTAATCATTGTTAATTATATTAATTATAATTATATAATTAATTGGTCATTTGTTAAAAAATCGAAACACATTTTCTTTCGCGTTATTATTTATTTTATATATTCCATTAATTAGGATTCTTTCATAAATACTGAAAAATAATAAGTTAAACAACTAAAGTATGGAGGCAGCAATAAAACAAAGTAGAAAGGTGTGTCCTTTTCTCCATAAAAACACGGCAGCAACACTACGAAAACTTTCCAGCATGCCGGCTCAACAACAACAACAAGGAGGCGCTCCTATGAACGCTCTTTTGTCGTTTGCTCAGAAATGTCCAGTTATGGGAAATGCAATGGCCACTGTGCAAGGCCGTCAAAGTTTATTGCATACTTCAGCGAAACTGGCTAAACAACCCACTCGTCCATTGAATCAAGCGTCGATCGTTAACCACGAGAAGAATTTGATTGATGAACGAGCCGCCGCTGCTACCATCGCTGCATTGAAAAAAAGTGAACAAGGTAACTTAATTGAAAAAGATGTGATTCGCATTTGCACAACAATTCAGTTACCAACCAAATTTTTGGTTACACAACTTAATCCAAAATCTAATCACAAATACTTGGGCTACTGTATCACTTTAACTAACCATAGTTGGCAGTTGCCCTTATCACCAAGTTCAACAACCAGAACAATCACCAAAGTCTCCTTATCATCGTCGATTGCCAGCTACTCACTCGACCAACTCTACCACATTTGATTATGAATCTCTTTATCACCACGAACTTGACAAGAAGCATCAAGATAAAACTTATCGTTATTTCAATAACATTAATCGTCTCGCTCAGAAATTTCCAAAGGCTCACACCAAAGACTCACGTGATGAAGTTATTGTCTGGTGCAGCAATGATTATTTGGGAATGGGTAAAAACCAAATTGTTTTGGAAACTATGAAGTAAGATCTTTTTATTTAGATAACGTTCAAGTTTAATATCAAATACAAAATAATATTCATATGTTTTTGTTCAATTACAGACAGACTTTGAACAAATATGGGGCTGGTGCGGGCGGAACTCGTAACATCGCCGGAAATTGTAATCTTCATTTACAACTAGAAGCAGAATTAGCCGATCTTCATCACAAACCGGCTGCGTTAGTCTTCACCTCGTGCTATGTCGCTAACGACGCTACATTAAGTACCTTAGCCTCGAAACTTCCTGGCTGTCACATCTTTTCTGATGCAGCCAATCACGCGTCAATGATTCAAGGAATCAAACATTCTGGCGCAAAGAAAATTATTTTTAAACATAACGATCTAGCCGATCTCGAAGCAAAACTTCAATCGGTCGATATTAATATCCCAAAAATAATAGCATTCGAAAGTGTTTATTCCATGTCGGGTTCTGTGGGTCAAATTAACGCGATTTGTGATCTCGCGAAAAAGTATGGCGCAATCACGTTTTTGGATGAAGTTCACGCAGTTGGAATGTACGGACCTCGTGGTGCGGGTGTTGCGGAACATTTAGACTTTGATTTGAATTCTCGTATTCCGCACGCGAACAATGGCAGCGTGCTTGATAAAGTCGATATTATTTCTGGTACACTTGGTAAAGCGTTTGGTATCGTCGGCGGTTACATTGCCGGATCGGCCAATTTGGTAGATATGATCCGTTCATATGCACCGGGATTCATTTTTACCACGTCCCTTCCACCCGCAAATGTCGCTGGCGCAAAAGCATCAATTCAATATCTCAAAAAATCATCCAAAGAACGACAAATGCAACAACTAAATACCAGGATCCTCAAAGCTCGCCTTGCCGAACTTGATATCCCCGTCATACCAAATCCTTCTCACATCGTTCCTGTCCTTGTGGGCGAGGCGGAACCTTGCAAAATCGCTTCCGATCAATTGCTACGTGAACACGGGATCTACGTTCAATCAATTAATTATCCAACCGTCGCTAAAGGTGAAGAAAGATTACGAATCACTCCGACTCCTGGGCATAATTCGAAAATGGTCGACCATTTAGTCGAGGCTTTGGAGACTATCTGGCGAAAGAACGGGTTCAAGCGTGTTAGTGATTGGAGGGCTGAAGGTGGTGGTGCGGGTGATCCTGTACCGAAACCGATTTGGACAGATCGGCAGTTGAATATTGTGCCGGGTGGTGGAGATGCGATCCATCCTTATGTTGTTGAAGTTACTGCATAAGAAGAGACAAAAAAAGAGGATTGATCGGAGCGATTGTGTTAACAGTTGTTGGTACACTAACAACATTTTTTTATTATTTTTGATCTAAAGTAAATTATTAACATCATTTATTATTATTATTATCATTTTCACATACACCATGTGATTCATTCTCTTTGTTTCTTTTCTCGACTCTCTTAATAACAAATAAAGTTTTGCGAATCTTGATACAAATATAAATTGTTGTGATGATTAATTTCGTGAATAGCAAATAATAATTTACAGCTCTTATATTATTGCTCAAGGAAAATTTCTAAAGTTCACTGGGGTAATTTTTACCAGTGCCCAGATTAAAATAGGGCGTTTGATATCCTTACAATTCAATTTGAAATAGCATATTCAAAAAATGATCTAACTCGTCTTACCAATACTAAAAGAGATCATAGATCTTTTTAGCCTTTTCTTTCTTTTATGGAGAATATCCTGTGGTATATTTAGAAAGATGTTCCCACTGTTAATTATAGCCTATCACAAACGATAATTATTTTAAGAGAATAGCATACTGATCATGCGGTACAGATTTCAGTATTTGATGTGGTACATAAATGTAACTGAACTTTTAAATTTGATAATTTTACAAACTAAACTGTAAAAATGATAGATTGGGTCAAGTTTTATCACTATTAATAAATGCTATAATTTTGTTAATCTTTTATAATCCTGACCAAAATTAAGCAGTATTACAAAAAATACAAAATCATGTGACTGTGTGATTAACAAAAATTTCATTAATCAGTCGCGTAATCTCTACTGTCGAGTCATGGCAACGAATAACAGTGTCCCGTCTTCACCTTATCAGGAGGAACAAAGTGGTAAGAAGAAAATACACACTTAGATACGCTATATATTTTCGCGCTGACACCCATTACATAGCTTTTCAATTTTTGCTTTGTTTCTTAAGAGGAAGCAAGACAGGAAAGAGCAGCTATTGAAGAAAGGTTAATTAACGAAGAGTATAAAATATGGAAAAAGAATTCGCCTTTTCTATATGATTTGGTAATCACTCATGCCCTAGAATGGCCTTCGTTAACTATTCAATGGTTTCGTGATGTCGATAAGTAAGTGCCCCCTTCAAAAGCACTAATTTTTCTTGTTTTTTCTGATATACATTTTTCTTTCCGTTGTATTATATTATAGACCTGAAGGGAAAGATTACATGATACAACGACTATTAATTGGAACTCATACATCTGGTGATGACCAAAATTATCTAGAAATAGCACATGTTCAACTTCCAAAGGATGATGCTAATGCCGATCTGAGGAAATATGATGATGATAAGGGAGGTAAAATCAAGCTTGATTCCGCCTCGCGCTTTCTTATAATTAATAATTAATAATTAAGAATGCAATAACGTACCTCCTAAACAGAAATTGGAGGCTATGGGGGAAATACAGAAAGCAGAGTTTTCGTTGTTCAAAGGATCAATCATGATGGAGAAGTTAATCGTGCTCGATACATGCCTCAAAATCAAGATATTATCGCCACCAAAACAGTGAATGGTGAAGTTTACATTTTCGATCGAACTAAACATCCATTAAAGCCTGCCGCAAATAGCATTTGTTCTCCTGAGCTCAGTCTAAAAGGACATACAAAGGAAGGGTAAATATATTCTGTTTTACTTCAATTTTTTCACATAGATTAAAGGATTTCAACGATATTACTCAACAGATATGGTTTAGCATGGAGTCCATTTAAAGATGGTCATTTATTAGACGCGTCGGAAGATATGACTATTTGTCATTGGTTTGTTGGTTGATATTTGATAATATGTCATTATCATCTTTTATTATTACCACTCTACAAATCCATTTTTTAGTAAATATTATGTATTAACAGGGATATAACGGGATACACTAAAGATACACGCACACTTGATCCATTTCGCGTCTATCAAGGCCACGAATCTATCGTTGAAGTGAGCAATAAATAATTTTTATATTATTTTATCAATTCAATTGCTTACATTGCATTAATTGTACAATATAGGATGTTGCTTGGCATAGTCTAGATCAAAATATTTTCGGATCTGTTGGTGATGATCAAAAACTTCTCATGTAGGTTATAACTTCACACATCGTCTCTTTCTTGAAAATTGTGTAATACGATTTAGAATTTTCTGTAAAAAAATAATATTAGCTGGGATATACGCACCGAAAGTACTGAAAAGCCTGTACACACCGTTAACGCACATATGAGTGAAATTAATAGTTTGGCATTTAATCCAAAAAGTGAATTTGTATTAGCCACGGGTGCAGGAGATAAGGTTTCTTATTCATTAATTTTTTTTTCATTATATCATCTTTAAAAGACAAGACTAATATTTGAATTTGCCAGACTGTAAATCTTTGGGATCTTCGAAACCTTAAAATAAAATTACACGCCTTAGAAAATCATCAAGGTGAAGTAATCCAAGTCGCATGGTCGCCTTTCGAGGAGACTATATTAGCATCTGCTGCAGGCGATCGTAGAATTATGGTGTGGGATTTGAGTCGAATTGGCTCTGAACAAACAGCTGAAGATGCTGAGGATGGACCACCTGAATTGCTGGTTTGTGGTAATTAAATTCGTTTTTTATTTCGTGAATTAGTTATACACACTTTACAATATTTAGTTTGTACACGGTGGACACACAAACAAGATTTCGGAATTCAGCTGGAATCCTCATACACCTTGGGTGATTGCAAGTGCCGCTGAAGATAATATAATTCAAGTGTGGCAACCTGTAAGTCACTATTTCCATGGTCTTTTAACAAAATATATCTTGCATTTTTTCAATTTTTGATACTTCAAATTCAGGCACGAAATATTTACATTACTGATGAATCAGACATACCACAAGAAGAATTAGAGGATATTGATAGAAAATTTCATTAAATTGAGCAATGTGTTGATTTCTTGTAGCTGAAAATTTGACCATGGTCGATTTTTTTCGACTTGATTGGTTGATCTTGGTATTATCGACTGGTCATAGAATTGTATAAATAATCGACCTGATTGGTTGATTTAAATAATATCCATAAAAGAAAGCATCGCCGAATTTCATTTTTACAGAAGATAATAACGAAAATGACTATATACTATTTTTTTAAGAGAAAGTATCAATGCTTAAATCCGAAAAAAAACATACTAATTTCATCTTAATTGGCGATCTGGATAAAAAACGGCACTATTTTCCTATTAAATTTATTAAATTTCGGGGTAATGTAGGTAGTAATACCCCTGGTCAAAGGCACAATTGGTAATTTCTTTTATGGTGACAGTGTTGGATCAGCAATTAGTCATGTGCCATTAATCAAATTTAATTCAATTCAAGTTATTTATATTAAAATGGTAATTAAAAATTAGAAGAATTTAATTTGCTTAAAGAGAAATGACCTATTATTAAATTTTCCAACTACTTAAAAGAGAATCCTTCAGTATTCAAACAGAGGAACTCGACTGCAATTACCGAGTTGGATTCGAATTATTCGTAGCTACTCGAATCGCCGCTTATATGGTCCGTAAAAAAGTGTAGTTTATCTAATTTATTCATGTTAATCTATTGGAGATACCAATCAATAATATACTGAAAGTATTATTATTAGCGATAAATAAGAGTTTTGCGAGTTCTAATCCTCGAATCAAGAGTAAAAGAAACACGATGTCGGCGTTCTATAATCCAATCCAACTAGATCTTCCACCAACATTATGTAGAACAGAAGTTCCTAAAGAAATACTTTTCGCACCAATTTGAAGATTATGCTCCACACACCATTCATACCACACTTTACGCGAATCTGTCAACCGCCAAAAGTGAACATTTAATTTCGAATTGCCTGGTAGAAAGATGGGCGTCTAAAAGAAGTCAAAATTATTAGTACTTTACAAATACCATGGTCAAGAATTAATTGAGCGTATATAAAATTCAATAAAGAACACAAACCTTTAAAGGAAAGTAAATTGGAAACCAACTAAACATTCCCTCTGAATGTGTTTTCGGATGGATACTTATAGTAATGTTCTTGTATAGCACAGACTCAAAAAATCCCGCAATTCCATGTAGAATCGCGCTTTCAGATATTGTGAAAGTGTTTTTCGAATATCGCGTATTATGAAAATTCGTAAGAGTATTTCCTAATATATCAAATACCAAAAATAAGTGAACAAAACACTATTATTTATTTAACAATATACACTTACCTTCATCATCAACATCTAATTTTTTATTTGGGTGTTCGAATTCCCAAACACTTTGTGGATCTGCCAATTGGGTGACAGCTTGAAACATCACAACATAGGGTGTCTCAAAGTGCGCTAAATCTTTATAAGCAGCAGCCTCACTATGTAATTTGGATGAAGATAAAGGAGCAATATAGGTTATATAATTAGCTGGAATCGATATTCCGTCCTCTAGAAAAACAATTATGTTAATACATAAAATAATAATATATCAAGAAACTTTCGATCTCCTTACTTTTGAGAAATTTCTGTGCTCCATCCAAACATTCTGGTGATAATTCATTATCGCCGAACGAACCTAAAAGTTCACTAACTATAATATCAGCCTATTGCCAGTAAAAAAGGTATCTACATTAACCATAATATTTTAGCAACGATAAAGTTCCTTCGATATATAATAATACTTTTTCTGGGGCATTCCATCTTCGCATGTCCGAAAATGCTATGGTAACTTTATCTCCCCACACTTCGGCCTTCATGTTTTGCAGCCTATTTAAAACAGTCGATAAATCAATTAATATCTTGCATTCATGTAAATAGTAAATATATAACATGTAAAACATACGTGACAAAGGCATTTGGGTTCTTTTCAATAGCATATACTTTTATTGGCCGGTTGGCTTTTTCCGCCGCTGCCAAGCATCGTGTGACAAGAGGACCACGCCCAGCTCCAACGACCATTATTACGCTTCAAAAAGAGGCCACAAAAAGATATCATTATATACTTTTCAGGTTTTAAAAATAACATATTCGGAATACCCACGTAGTTTCCTGCGAATTTGGTTGCACACGGTCGAGTAGAGCGTGATATACCGCCTATGCTCAAAATAAATTAATCGGTGCCAAATATAAATCGTTCAGTTTGATCCGTCTTTCGCCTCGTATTGTCAAGGCCCAAGGAGAGTCCGAAATTTGCAAAATCATGACTGCATCCATCGGATTTGATAGAAAATAACGTGTTTCCAAAAGTCCAAAGAAACTGATTATTGAACTTTTTTTTACCTAATATCATACCTTTTCATATTGTGAGTATTTTATCGGATCTTTTTCAAATGTTTCATAAGTTGAAGATTCAAGATTATCCATTAATGGCTAAAGATTAAAATTAAATTAGTTGTATAACTATATTAATTACATATTGCTAATATATTTACCTGTAAAGGTGATTGCAAATAATCTTGGTAGCCAGTGGCAAATCTTTCTACCTCACTTAATTCTGGCATGGTTCTGTTTAAATGACGCAAGTATTCTTGATAGGTAGACGTACCACCGATAGTAGTGTTTTTTCGATTTTCAGTGTCAGAAATGATGAAATTTGCTCTAATCTATCCGTTTTCAATAAACTTAATTACTTCATATGATCATTACAAAATATCATAATTAAATTCTCATACTCTCATGAGCCTGCGAACAAAAGCCTGATGCTTTTTGCTAAGCACCGGATAACCTTTAGCGTTTGTCAGAAATATATTAGTTGGGACGATGACGGCTTTGATTGGCTCACCGAACCAACGTTCAAGAATGTAATTATCGGGAAGATCAGTGGTAAGCTCCAAAGCTGAACTCGAGATATTCAAATATTTAAGTTTATTAGATTTAATAATATTAATAATACATAAATACGCTTACCTATAGATAATTTAGCATGATGTTCACAAAGGGTGCGAAATTGATTCCATCGTTCCCAGGTGACAGTCTCTTTAGTTTCCGTTATTTGCTCTTGTAAGATCAATGGGATTTGTAACCAAACCTGATGAATTCAACTAACGTCATAATCAATATGCTAGACGCGAAAAAAGTGAATGAGACACGTCGTGATAAAAGAGAATAAAAATTGCAAAAACACACGTGCGTATATGCCAATACTCCCAAGATAGAATGAACACTCCTAGCATAATTAAATGCAGAATCGTGCGGAAACGGTAAGAGCACAGCTGAAAGGCCCAAATGTGTCGCCCAAGCAATTTCTTGTTTCATAGCCTAGATAAACACACACACACATACCGTTAAAGAGGTATGCATAAAGTTTGATCTTATACAGTAATACGAACTATTTCAGAATTTATTCGTATTTGAGCGTTGGGCGAATCCAAATCTATCCATTCCGAAACTTTTCCTACTGCCATGTCAGCGAATTCTAAGTTTTCATGCTATGTGAGTATTTTTCGATTTGAAATTCAAACAGTTCTCGAGAAAACCAACTAACCAACGCTTTTTAAAAATAAATCATCAAGGGAAAATGATTGTCCTTCTCTCCAGCTTTCCATTGTTCTTTGCAATTCTTTGTTTAAAGAAAAGTCTACTTGCTCGTCGAACAAGAAGCGTTTAAATTGCGGCCGAGTTATTGGCACTACCAAAAAATCTTGTCCTCTCTCTTTGGCTTGTACACCGAGGGTACGAAGGTCAGGGCCTTCACTTGAACAAAAAACACCAAGAGGAACACGCGGAGGTAAAGAGTTCGAATTTGGTTCCATTACGAGAAATAATTTTTAGTAAAAAGTTCTACAATTGAAAATCGGCCAGTATTAAATTCGTTATCTGCAAGTCTACTACCAAATTACGACTAAATTACATCTAAAAGCGGGACTAAATTCAAGGTTCATACGATCATACAAACATAAGCTAAATTCTAGTGCAAAAAAACCTATTATCATTTATTTATATATTGCAAATTTCAAATCAGGATCAAGGTGCAAAACAATTGATATGTTATTATTGTTGTATGAATAAAAGGGAGACCTAACTATTAATCTATCCATTTGGCTCCCGTAGCCAAAGCAATAAACGAGTACTTATCAGTCGCTTCGTCAATCTAAAGATTATAATTATTAAAAATTATAAATCAATAGATCAAATAATTTAGATTAAAAAATAACAATAATACGAACTCGCTTCTGTATCGGCTTGCCTGATCCATGCCCGGCCTAAAATATAAGCTTTACTTTTTAATAACAAATTAAATTGACATAATGAAATATATATGGTTCTTACTTTTTTATCAATCCTAATCATCAATGGATTAGGATTATTTCTGGCGACATGTTGCAATTGGGAAATATATTTAAAAGAATGCAATGGTACACTATAGATTGAAAAAATCATTAGAGCGAGCTAAAATTACTACAATGAAGCGAAATAAAAGAGAAAAAAATGCTTACACTCTGTCATCATGATCTGAGGTTGTCAATAATACTGAAGGATATGGTTTAGCAGACTGGACATTATGCAATGGTGAATACCTACAGAAAAGTAGTTAAAATAGATTAAGAAGCAGATTATCTAGTATAGCAAAATGAACAATAAAGCATACTTGTAAATATATTCAAAGTCTTCCTTTTTGTCAGGATCACCGTAATCGCTTCGCCAATAGTGACCAATGGTGAATTTATGAAATCTTAACATATCCAGCACACCAACATCAGCCACCGCAGCCCCAAAAAGTTCAGGTGCCTGTAAATTTAGATAATTGTAAGAATATAAATAAATTTTCTAAGTCACTTATAAAGTTAACCTGATTAATAGATACACCAACTAGTGTACCACCATTGGAGGCACCGTTTATTGCTAGTTTTTCGGCTCTAGTGTATTTATTAGCAATTAACCATTTAGCTACTGCCTATATAAATATATATTTATAATTGTTATTATATATTATATTAATCAATATCAAGAAATAAATATTGAATAATTAATTACCTGAAAATCATCAAAAACATTTTGTTTCTTTTCCAAAATACCAGCTAAATGCCATTCTTCCCCATATTCACATCCGCCACGTAAATTAGCCATAGATAATATACCATTATAATGTTGTATAAAATTAAGCATAGTCGGACTGAACATTGGCGTCAAACTGGAACTAAAGCCTCCGTATCCATATAACAACGTAGGATGTTCTCCATCGAGTGCAAGATCCTGAATAACAAAAAATTTGAATACACGTAAAGAAAAAAATGATGGCTTCCAAAAATAAATTATCGCAATTTTTACCTTTCTAAAAACTAGAAATGCAGGTATTTTCGTAGAATCTTTACTTTCAATGAAAACTTGTTTTGCCTCTAAATTTTCACTTTGAAGTCCTTGAACTTTTGTCGTTCTGAAAACAGTCATCGAATTGTCGAGGAAGTTGTAACGATAAATAATACCAGGATTCAAAAATCCGGAAAATTTAAAGAAGAATTCAGTATCTTCCTTTTGACCAGCTAAAGAATCAACTGATCCAATTGGAAGATCAACATCTTTAATCTTCTGTCCCGTAGTTAAATCGTGAATAGATATTTGGTCTTTGACATCGTGCATGTATACTGTAATAAGTTTAGTTTCATGTACAACACAAGCAACCGACAAGACATCGATAGGATGTTGAGGTATTAAATCTGTAAATCCCTATTAATCAATTCAGATTACTAATAAGTAATATAAATTGCATATAAGAAACTTATTGAATATAATTATGCATACTTTTTCAGGATTGGCTAGATCATATTTAACAATTCTCCATCTGGGAGAATCCAGATTTGTCATGAAATAGATTATTGTCCCATTATTTGTTATACTAAAAAAACAATACAAATAATCGAATTAATAAAAATTTAACTTATAATTTTCAAATGGGACAAAGCCAAACTCACTAATCATATTCAGCTTCAAAAACATCCACAATCTTTTCAAATTCCAATTTATCTTAAATAAAAAAATCATAAATTAAACGCACGAAACTATTAAAGTACTAAGAAACCCTTACCTTTAACTTTTCCTTCAGATTTTTCTAAATCAGCTATCCAAAGTTTATTAACATGACCGCAATCCTTATTCACAAGGACCAATACAAATCTACCATCTACTGATACACGAGCATCAAAGTTAAATTCAGGATTTTCCGGAACTTCGAGTATAAGAATATCGTCGGCTTGAGAAGTACCAAGTCGATGATAATATAACTAGAAATTATGAGTTGCTTTCCCTTAAGAACGATTGCACGATACAAAAGATCAAATCTTTGTGAATCATATATTAAACGTGGCTTAATCAATGTAAATATACCTTCGAGTTGAGATTAGAACTGGTTTCTGTTCCTTTATCCATTGTCTTTTCCTCTTCAAGCTTAGGATATCTCTGAGAAGACATAAATTTATATAAAGATTTCAATAGATTGCTGCAACATAAATTCCGATCATTTGCATATTACGAGAAATAATAATATCAAACACTATAAAAGAATCCAGCATCGTCGTGAGTAAAGCTTAGACCGGAGAACTTGACCCATTCTATTCGATCATCTAAATGTTCTCCTTGTTCGTAACCAGTTGTCGGCTTAACATAGACTGTTACCCAGTCACTTCCTTTTTTTTTTAACGTTAAGATTTATCGTTACAAAGTAAAAAAAAAACTTATAAATTAACAAGTATAAAACTTACCCGATTTCGAGATACCATAAGCAAAATATTTGCCCGATTTTGAGAAAATGTATGTCGACAATGAAGCAGTTCCATCAGCTTCAATAGTATTAGGCTACAGAAAAAAATAAAATTATTTACATATAGCCAAAAAGCATAATTCAAACATCAAAATATACTCACATCAAAAAACACTTTAGGTTCAGCGGTCAATGATGATTGCTGATAAAGAATACTGTAATTTAAAAGATTTATTAGACAAAAAACAATGTCCTATTTCAATGTAAATCTTACTTTTGAGGTAGTAATCCAGTATTATAAAAGTAATAATAGAATTCTCCTCTCTTAAAAGGACATCCATATCTTTCATAATTATACATTGTGGTCAGACTATAATTAATTAAAGTAAGTAGTGATTTTGATTTATGGAAAATGTCAAAAAATATTCAAGCCTTACCTTTCGCGAAACTTTTCTCGATACTCATAAGTATCTAGAAGTTTATTAGTGACAGCATTCTGAGCCTCTATAAATGCCTATTAAGCAATTTAATGTGAGATAAAGTCGACTAAAATACTCTTTAAATTCCAATTAAATCAAATAAAGACCTTTGTTTCATCTGAATCTGGTTCTTCTAACCAACGATATGGGTCCGCAACACGAACTCCATGCAAATCCTCAACCACGGTCTCATCTCTACGTACCTCTGGATAAGTCCAAACCATTCTTTTCCCTTTTGGCTGCTCGAAAGCCGGTAATTGTTGCTTAGAATGTGTTTGTGCGAAGAATGAAGCTCTAAAGGTTGTCAGTTTTAAACACACGAAGTTAAACTGTGTAGGACAAAAACTATTTATTCGAAGATAAGAGTAAGACCAAGGTCCAAAAACAGCAGCAGCAACAGCCACTGCCAAAGCGGCGATACGATGATTAATTTTTAACAATAAAAGCAACATAATAAGGAAACTTTGAAGCTGACAAATTCCAAAGACAAAGAATTTTCATAGTAAAAAAACCATTGCAATAATGCCAATTAGCAAAAAATAATTTCACACTTTTTGGTCTAATAAAATTGCAAGCCAGAAAGCTAAAATTGATACACCGAACATATTAAAAACATTAAAAAATTGCAGTGTGATAACAGAAAATATAAATCAAAGAGTATTAAAGATGTATTGACATCAATATTAAAAGCCTTCAGCTTAAATCATTATGAAACAATTTGATGGTTTGTATTGTTATCAAATTTTAAATTAAGGAAACTTTTGTGCGAACAAGTCCACCTCGAAAATTTTTGATGGGTTGTGGAGAACGTTGTAATCTTCGGAAGCCTTCATGGATATGAGCTGGCTGTAAGGGAGTCTGAGGTGAAGGAGGCGGCGCAAATAGAAAAGAATCCGGCCTATCCTCATCATCTAGATCTGCTACAACGCGTGAACGTTTAAGACTCTTTGGATATGATTTGTTTTCTTCTTTGGTATCCAAATCTTGTTTTACACGTAAAGCATTTTCGGTCAAAACGCTAACCATCTCAAAAGTCAAGAATCCAAGAATATCGATAATATCATCGTTTGGTCTCATGTCAATATATGCAGACATGTTTGCCCATTCTCTAAATCTTTTTGCCTTTCGATAAGTAAATGAGGCTTGACGACATTCCGAGTAGTGAACATATTCTTCGCGCGTCATTGCTCGCGTAATTTCGTCAGCGTCCTGTTTTATGATTTCGGCATAATATTAATATAATAATTTACAGAAAAAATTTAAATAATTAAAATAAACGACCATACTTTTAATCGTTGTATAGAGTCATTATACGCCTCTAGTTCTTCATCATCTTCTTCATCGGAATTTGCATTCAAAAATTCAGAGAAAGAGTTTACTAATTCCCATGATAATTTCACTTTCATTTTGCGTGCCTTTGCTAATTTATCTATATGATAATAAAAAAAGGTTATAATAGATTAAGGTTATAATAGATTAAAGCATTCTCATATTCCCAACAAAAAAAACAACACGAAGACATATTTTTTATTTTATTGATTATTATTAAGAATACCTGCATTGGGTTCCTCAAGGATTTCTTCAGCTGCATCCTGACCACCAGAATCTTTGGTATTCTTTCTGACGTCTTTCCAACTAAGATAAGTACGTAATCGATTAACTTTTGCACGATCATGTCTTATTAAAAAGATTAAATCTTCTGCACTCATGTATCTTGATCCACGTTTTGCAGCTTGTGCGGCCGCTTGGATTATCTGATTTTTTTCAAATGATTGTGGTCAATCTCAGATATATTAAAGTATATTCACTTAAACAAAAACATGCGCCATACAATCTCAATAACTTGTGACCTCACAATATCTTCTACGAGCATAACAGTTTCGGGATTTGGCTCGGACACTTCTCCAAAAACAAACATCATTTGTTGAATTTCAGAAGAATATCGATATTTTGATTTTTCTTTTTCCTATTAACATTTATTTCATTCACATTTCTTTTCAGGGTTAAAATTGGCAAAAAAAAATCCGAAACCCATTTTGGTATTATGCCAAATAAAAATAAACGAGTTAATGCTCACTGGTGGTGGAGCTTTGCTTTTGTCATTTTTTTCCAAGGTGGTTTTTTGCGCGTTATTATTAGTTGTGGTTGTAGGAGCGATGTTACTCATGTTGCTCATGTTAACAAATTGCAGAGACTATACATATAAATCGTGACGTCAGTGTTCACATCAGAAATTTGTGCCAGGTTTTGTCGATCATGGACCAGCATCCAATAAGAACGAAAAATACGAGAAACAGGTGCCTAAATTTAGCTTGGAGTACTAATTAGAAACGTCGGTGAGGTAATTTTATATACAATTTGTATTTCAGTCCTAATCCTAATCCTAACACTAACCCTAATCCTAAAACCAATCTTCTAATGTTAATTAATATTTTCCGAGATCAACAAAACCTGGCACAGATTAATTCCTATCTTACACAAAACTATTTTCTTACTATGCAAGTCGAAATTGTCAAAAGCAGCCACGGTAAAAAGAAATTTCGCAGGCCAGAACGCTCAATTCCTGAAGAAATCAAAAGTTCTTTATTGGAACAAACAACACCTCGAAAACTTTGGACACCTCAGGATGGAATTCAAGCCAAAATGACAAAATTAAATGACACTGATGAATTTCAACGAAATGCACCGCCACCTACTCGTCCCTTATTCGATCATCGTAGGGACCCTATCATTTTGGTGCCAAAAGCTAGCATTGGACACGAAAGTCAAAAGCCAACTTTGAATAACGCGTCATATAAGAATGAAACTGTTAATTATACTCATACTCGTCGCGCTAGCACTCATTTCGGGTCTGTGACAAATGGAAAAAAACTTTATAATCCTTATAGCGATGAAGAAAGCGATTCAAAGAAACAAGCTCAACGTGATATCGCTAAGCCTTCTCGTACACACGCGCGAACCAAAAGTGCCCATGATGCCGTTTCAGTTGCCCTCAAGAATAATGAAATTGGTAAAGGTGCCATAAACAAAGAAGAACGTGATGCAAAGGTGTTAAAAAATCTTGCTAAGGAGATTGCGTTAATGGAAAAGCAACTTTTTGATCTTTCAAGTCAGATCAATAGTAATAATGCCATTGACGATGTACCGAAAATTGCTTCTAGGCAATATCTCGTTAGTGAGGAATATTGGGAAGAAAGAATGTCCTTTCATTTACGGTATGTTTATAAATAATCTCAATTTATTAATTTCGAACTACTTACTAATTTACTCTAATAGTTTGGCTCAGAAATACATAGAGTTTACGCAAATTGACAAGAATGTTGCAATGAAACAAGACTTTGAGTCCAAATGTTGGAAATACGCTTTTTACACCCTGATCGAAGAATTTAGGAATGCACTCTCGATAGAACGTGCTTCCACAGGACACCGCTCTTACACTAATTCAATTGTTCTTAAGCAGTTCGGTAAATTCTTGAATGAGTCCGAAACTTTCTATATAGAATTATTGAAAAACAGTATTCAAAAAACTAAATCCAATGAGATTCCGCCCGAGAATAGCCAACTTCCAAAATGGTTTCGTTGCATCAGTTGTTTAGGTGATCTTGCTCGATACAGGTGGACTTATAGCTTAAATGATCACGAAGATAAAAAACATGAATGGGCCATGAATGCATCAAATTGGTATAAATTAGGGATTACACTCAATCCTTCAAATGGTATAATCTCAAATAATTTATTTAATCCCTTTTTTAACAATATTTTATTTAATGAATATATTGTATCATTATATAGGTAAATTCTATCACCATTTAGCGATATTGGCTTCTAATGACGAGATGCAAAAGTTATATTATTTTTGCCGCAGGTATCCGACAATTTTCTTTTGCTTTTGATCGTTTATAACTTAGATGTTTATTTTTAATAATTGTTTCTTTTGTTTACATATGTAGTCTTCTTGTTAAAACTCCATTTATTATTGCACGTGAATCTGCAATTCCATTTTTTGAGGCCAATCGACAACTTTTTATACCAAACGTCAACGATACTAAACAAAAAACTCGTCGCGGATATCTACACAAACGTGAAAGTAACTCGACTTGTAGTACATCGAAGGCTACCAAGCTCATTTCGAATCAAGATATCCAATCTCTCTTTGTCCGATTGCACGGAATGCTTTTTACAAAAATCGGTCTCGAGAATTTCAATGAGACTTTACGTATTTTCGTACATAAAACATCCAATATTAATTATTTGCAAAAGATTGATAAGGTCGAAAACCAATATTTTTTGGAGCTATGCTTGCAATTGGCCGTAATAAATCTATCGAGTATATATTGTTATGGCAACAATGAAGGTTCTTCCCTTATTAAAGCAATCGAGGCTTCTATAAATGACCGAGAAGACAATGTGAAGATTCTCGATTCTGATATTGCATTCACTAATGGAGTAAATATTACTTTTGAGCTTATGAGGCAATTTATGGGTAATTATCTAAGTGATGAGGTCAATTCTGAAGGGCACGATATTACTGAAGGGTGGCTTCTTTATTGTGAAGTCGTATTAATGTGGATGGTGGCAAGTTGCGCCTTTGATAATTTCGCCGCAGAATTTCAATCGAGTATATGGGAAAAGTTATCCGGAAAAGCAATTTGTCCCCGTTTTTGGGAAACAATTGCAAATTTTTTAACCAAAATAACACGGCAAGTCTCTGCCTTTACAAAAGAAGAGATAATTTCATCAAATGGAAGCATTTTTCCGCCTCCCCTAGCTGAAGATTGGGAATTGCGTGGAATCTGTTGGTTACGACAAATTCATCCAAATAATTACTTTAAAGAAGAAATTGATTTGTTGACATCTAATTTTAATGCTGAAAAACTCAATGATTATATTGCTCCAACGTATTCCCTGAAATTGGACCCGGATGCTAAAGTGAGAAGGAGAGCAAGAATATTTGAGTTGGGAATATTGTTAGCAAAGGTAAATTGAAGTCATAATTATAAAATTGATAATTTTTCAACTTATTTATTCGATCTCTTTGAATTATAGAAAATAAATGGGCTCGAATTTGATGAAAAACTTGACTCCTTCTCTTCTTTGCCCGAACTAGACGAGGATGTAAAAGACACCAAAATAAAGTCAGAATTGCTTTTTGAAAACGAGCTTAGCCAGTCTAAGTCTGATTGGGCCGAAGAGGTAGAAAATGTGATCCAAAAGGAATTAAGTGATCAAGAAGAAGATGAAAATATTAAGGAATTGAAGGTAATAAAGACTTTCATATTGAAGATTTATATAATTGACGCAATTCTTACTTTTTGTCATAATATCAGGCACGCAGAGCAAATCTAGAAATGAAGACTGCTGCTCTAATTGATTCTCGTGTAACTCCGAAAAAATCACACGTGAATGAAAAAAAGACAGAGTTAATTCCGATCAAGAAGTCACCGAAATCAGCTTCCAAAATTTTACCAGGATATACTACATTCATCGTTGACACAAATTGTTTAGTGGGCGATTTGTACTCTGTCAAAAAAATTATAAAGTCCGAAAAATGGAATGTGGTTGTGCCAATGGCTGGTGAATATCAATGTATCAATTAATAATCGAGGTATTTATCGTACTACTTAATTAATATATATATATATTTGTTTATTACAGTTATTACTGAGTTGGCTGGATTAACTTTGAATCCGCCTCCGCTTGGAAATTCGGCTACCGAAGCGCTCAACTATTTAAAACAAGCAATGTCAAGTGGGACCAGGGAAATAAAATTAAAAGTTCAGACAAGTAAAGGAAATTACATATCCGATATTAGTTTCAATGAGGAATTCGATTTCGGATATGGAGAAGACAAAAAGAAAAATCTTGACGACATTATTTTAGGAATTTGTTTGTGGCACGCAAAGAATCATCCCGATACTGGCAATCAAAACAATGGAAATCAAAATGAAAGAGTGGTTCTTTTGACAAACGATAGGAACCTTCGAGTGAAAGCACGCGCGAGAGATGTTAATGTCGTTAATGTCCAGGATTTTAAGAATCTCATTGGATGAATAATTTATATATTACATATTTGTGCAAGTAATTTTTTTATAAAAAATGGATCATCACTTTGCCGAGTTTATTGGATATTGATTGATTGATTGATTCTATAATAATCTTTTCTTAACGGTAAGTAAAATGTAAAATTTATTTAATGATTTATTATTGATTTTATTTATTAACCAAATTTTAATTAGGATTTCGGCGTCGACATTCCGCATGTTCCCAATTATTCAGGATTGACGGAAAAAATCGGCCGAATTTATTAAATCTGTTTTTCCTTGAATTTTAATGCAATATATCTGGAAAATAATCATGGCGAAGCTGATCTCTCAGCTTCTGGCGTCGTTGTTGTCTTCGTTCAGTGTCATTCTGACAAGATTTATATGAAGCACAACAACGCATTGCATCGTTATTTCCTATAAATGGAATTAAACAAAGAATCTCTCACACAATCATCAATTGATTCGTAAACTAAACATTTCATTTTTATGTGTGTTTATGTGAGAACACTGAAAAGAACCTTACAACTATTATCATTAATTTCTCAAATTATTTTTTATTCTTGCGTAGTAGGGCTTTTTTTCAGGATTTCAAATTAGAAAAATCTATTGTAGATAATCTTAATGGCTCTTTTTTTAAATAAATATACAGTACTTTTTTCTCAAAATAGCTAAATTTTACGTGGCACAATAATTCAGTGTCACAAAATCTTATTATCGTTATATAGAGAGCAAACTTGCCACTTTGGCTTTATTCTTGAAAAAATGGCACATTCGATAATTCAGAATTTTATAGGTATATTTCTAATTTTTTTAGAAATAAACCAAAATTTCATCAAATTTATGTTTTAAAGTTTGGAATTTCTTTTCTACGAAAACGCCAACACTCTTTTAAGAGAGGGCTTGCAATCCGGCTTTAAATGAACCTGATTTGGCCTTAAATTTAGAAATTGCTGATTTAATTAATCAAAAGAAACAAAATTAGTACGTTATTTAATTGCTTAGCGTGTGATTCTATGGAATTTTCTTACTAATTCTTTTTTTAGTCCGCGAGATGCAGCATTTCACATTGCAAGATTAATTAATCATAGAAATCAAATTGTCTCGTTGCTTGCTTTAACGGTATGATAATTCATTTCGTGCGGACTATTTCATGCGAATGCGTAAAGATATATCAATTTATTTTTTTTTTATTAAAATAATATATAGCTTTTGGATATATGCGTAAAGAATTGTGGCTATCCCTTCCATTTACAAGTAGCCACGAAGGATTTTTTGAATGAATTAGTCCGGAAATTTCCTGAAAAGCCCCCTGTAAGTCGATTTATTTTTTGTTCTTAACTATTTAGACAGCGGGTTAAACAATATTTCTTTTGATCTTTATACAGATAGTACCTAATCCTGTTCAGCTTCGAATATTAGAATATATTCAAGAGTGGAGATCGACGCTATGTTCTACATCTCGTCATAAGGAAGATTTTGTACATATTAGTGATATGCATCGTTTGCTCACCTTCAAAGGTAAAATAAGTTATATAGTAAAGATTATTATTATTACTTTTTAATGTGTTGTTGATCTTAATTGTATTTTTAGGATATATTTTTCCTGAAGTTGATACGGAGTCTGTTGCGGTCTTAAATCCTGCTCAAGTAGGGATTTTTTTATTTCTACTTCTATTACGGGAAAATGTAATTTTTATATTAAATTGAATTATTAGACATTAAAATCAAAGGATGAACTAGAGGAGGAAGATCGTATTGTAAAAGCTGCGGTAAGCTAGTGATTATATATATTTCTTTAAAATATTACTACACAAATATTGTGTCATATTTGAAACTTTTGTTGTTTAGATAATTCATTACTTGTCGGGAATTTGCTACTCTTACTCTGGCTTACTTGATTTTGTGTGTGTATAAAAAATCAGAAATTACAAGAATTAATTCGTAGAGGTACTCCTTCGGATCTTGTAGAGGCTCAGGAGTTGATGAAAATTATGGCTGGCTATGTATGTAGATATTCACATTTTTTGCCTTTTTTTTTTTGTATTAAAAATTATTCAATTAACCCTTCCTTTTAAATAAATATAGGACCCGGAAACCCGACCAGACTACCAGAAACAAGCAGACGAAGAATTAGAACGCATACAACGAAAATCTGTGCTCCTGAATGATTTGCTGAATAATGTTAAACCGGGTGAACAAATTGGCGGAGATGTATATGAGGTTATTAAATTTTATATATACGAAAGTTCATTTCTAATATAACAACAGTAGTTATTGATTTCTATTAATTAACAGGAACTAGCACAATCTTGTAAAGCTGTACAACCAAAAATTCAGCGACTCATTTCAGAAGAGGATGATTCAGAGAGCATTGGTAAGATCAAAAGATTCGCATTTTTCAAAAAAAAAAAGATATTAATAGATATTTAATTTTTTTTTAGATCGGCTTCTATTATTGAATGATACAATAAATACTGTATTGAAAAGATATGAAGATATCTCCAAAGGGATTTTTGAACAAGAAGAAGATACCGTAACATTATCTCAACCAAAAATAGAGTAAGAAAATAATATGAAAAAATATTTAATCCTTTCTTTCGCTCATCTTTAAAGTCTTAACGGTCATATGTAATATTTATATAGAAATTCTTCCGAATCATGGTTAATTGATCTTGAGGAACCGGATCCTCCAGCAAATGAGATTGTACTGACATCTACTTTGAATACAGATAATACAGTTGCTCCTAACAACTCATCAACCAGAAAAGGTTTGACTGAATTTAATATTTACTAGTAGTGAATTTTTACATAAAATAATTATACTCACTAATTTAAAATAAAATAGGAACTGCAATTGATGATTTACTTGGTCTGAAGTTTTAATTATATTGCAACGTAGCACATATGCGGACTTGTATTTTATATAAGCATGAACATGACAACAAGTAAAATTAGCTATTAATGATATTACAAATTACCCAACCGATCTCTAAACCAGTGTTGGCATTTGGCTGCGACCAAAAAATTTCCTTGGCCATGGCCAACTTCAGCCAAATGGCCAAGTGACAACACTGCTTTAAACTAAAGTCCATTGTTTCCCAGCATCTGGTGGATACCACAAATTTGTCTTCATAAGAATAACACGCTATGGGTGTAACATCTTCCATTTGGAGATCATTTTTCCATACAAGATCTGGTGATTTTAAGCTATACGTATTAACTAAATTCTGTTCTGCCTTACCAGGTGCGACTGCTATTGGTTATTTTCAATATTTCCACAGTGATAATATTTTTCACTCGTTGTTATATTTAAACGGTATTATCGACTGATATTAGTTACTTTAGCTAAAAAAAATTGACATCCAACAGTACAAAATATCATCACGGATATTCATCTTGTGCAGTAATATTGATTTGGCCCAAGCCCGCTATCCCTTTGAAATCACTTTTCCTGTTTTCGTAATATTGCCACTTCGGGCTTCATTAGTGCTTGATCTAATTTGAGATATATCTTGTATGCATACGGCAGCGATATTTGTGATAGTTTCAGCAAATGCCATACGAGAAGATGCTGCTGAGAATATACCAAAGCTATAGGCTGTTTCCCATAGCCATAAGTTCACTGGTTATCAATACAGAAGAAACAGTAACGGCCACATCAGAGATAGGAATTTGCAAACTAACCATTTGATCATGAGCAACAGTACGATCTCCAATTGTAATTAAGAAGGTCGAAAGACCCGATATATTGATTTCTTCTCGTAGTTAAATGCTTTTTAAAACTAGTATTTAATAGTACATAACGATAGATTTGTTGGTTTTCCGAAAAAAATTTGTACTGATAAACTGTGTGTATTATTTAGTAATGAATCTTCTAATATTAAAACTTGATTTTTTGCAGTAATTCCTACATCAGCAAATGGACACCTTTCATAAGAGCAAATTTTCTATTACACCATATTTCCATGGGTCACACACATTTGGAATTTTGATGAATGTACTGATTTATTCGTGATGGGATTATCGACGCAAAATCCAGATCAACTGAATTAATATTGAAGATGCTGCACCACCTTAGTGAATGAACTTCTAAGACAGTTGTTTCTTAAAAACGTGATCAGGTCTTACTGTGCATACATACATTATTTCAAATTTTGCAGTTTTCAACAAATATTCGAAAGTATCCAATAACAGGACACAAAAATTCATTATTGAAAGCAGCGGAACTTTAATCATAAAATCAAGAGCTGTGCCCATTATTACTTCGTGCTCATCAATTCAATGATCGTGTATTGAATATTAAAATCAGAAGCATCAAATCCTTCTAGTACTGCTGCACTATCGGAATAAGCTGAAATAATAATATCATGCGGATTGATAATAAGCATTCTAAATTTTATAACAAGGCCCAGAATTAACATGAATAATTCAAAATATGTTGGATTCCTAGATAAAAATCCATTTCATCAGAGGAAGTTGACTGGAAACACATTTGGGTATCGAAGCTCATTTCAAATAAATAAACTATAACACGTTCAATTCTACAGTTAAATTTTGAAGATCATGAAATTATTCCAAGTCGACGTTAATAAAGATTTAATGTGCACGACATAAACATTAATGTGCGCTGCGTCTAATCGAAAATTTTTCAAGAGCGAGCAAATAATTTTTATGATTCGAAAATGCACTTGAATATAACAAAAAATTTGTCTAAAAGTTTTGGAAATGGGTTTTTATCGGTCAGTATAAGCTTCTACCGTTCTTATAATTTTGCTCAAACATAGTCATAGTTCAATATGCATTCGAAGCGAAGGTTTGAAGTTATTTTGTATAGAGATAGTAAACTTCGAATGTAATTCGGAACTATGAAATATTTATGAGTCGTCAGTTTTTTATAACGTTTCTTGTCCAATTATAAAATGAATTGACAACTTATTATATCCTTAAGCTTTTAATGAAGAAATTTCGTGGTAAATAGAATTTGCCCCGAGAACATCAAGGAAACCACTAAATAAAGAGGCGAATAAAACATTTTTGTTATCAAGAACAAATTCTCGATTTTATTTTTGTAATTTTTAACATTATTGATTTATTTAGCTCTTTAATTTTCGTCCATAAATTTAATTTATACCTAAACAACAGATCAAACTTACGAATTCTTTATTATCGCGTCCTCAAGTCCTCATCGATTCTACATTAATACCTAAACCAAAATTCTTAAATCATAATCGTTACATTACAACTAAATCTTCAACTGCTGCCATCATTTATAAAACTAATCACCCACGGAAAAAGGTTCCACCCTTACCTCAAATTGCACCTCCGACACTATCTGCTGAGGAAGCTGTCACCAATATTATATACAATACTCCTGCGCCATCACATATGCCGGTAAAAAGACACATTTTGAATTGTTTAGTGCAGAATGAACCCGGAGTTTTGAGTCGTGTGAGTGGAATTCTAGCCGCTCGTGGGTTCAATATTGATTCTTTGGTTGTGGCGAGTACGGAAGTAGCCGATTTAAGTAGAATGACTATTGTTTTGCGAGGACAAGACGATGTAATCGAACAAGCTAGAAGACAATTAGAAGATATGGTAAATAAATATATTAATAAATATTAGAAAAATATTTGCATATTGAGATTTTTTTATTATAGGTACCTGTTTGGGCCGTTTTGGACTATACAGAAACAACAATAGTAGAACGCGAATTACTATTGGTAAAAGTTTCAATACTGGGACCAGAATTTTTACATGAACAATTGGCAGCCTTAAAGCACGAAACTTATAATGATGAATTTATGCCAGAAGCTGACTTAGAGGTAAAATATAAATTAATAATTTAATTTTATACGCAATAATTCTTAGTTTAACCTTTACTCTATAGGATAACGCGTCTGATCCAATTAAGCCGAAATTTGACGAAGCTCTTTCCCCATCTGCAGCTTTGAGACAAAAAAATTCACATCTTCATGCTCTTAGCGATTTGGCAAAATTATTTAGTGGAAAATTAGTGGATGTTTCCAGTCATAGTGTAGTTATAGAATTATCAGCTAAACCAATAAGAATAGATGCTTTTCTAAAATTAGTAAAACCGTTTGGTATACTGGAAGCAGCCAGAAGCGGTATGATGGCATTACCACGTACTCCAATTCATGATCGATCAGAATCAGAAGGTTTATTAGAAGATGAGGAGGGTGAAGGTGTAGATGCTACTATGTTACCTCCTGGTTAACAATTCATCATTATTGTTATTTCAAAAAATAATTAGATACGTGGGAACTGGATTATGTTAGTTTATAGTGGATTATGATTTGAAATTTGAAACATGTATTTTTGAGGTTTTGTAAATTGAAGGATTAACGTGGGCCATAATTTTGTTTATTGAACATTTTATATTATTTGAAAATATCTGATTGTATTAAAATTCAGTTTATACGAATTACTGGAAAATCAAAAAAATAATAGTAAAAATGAAATTATTTTTCTATATTGAAAATTTTAGTTTATTAAATATGTTAATAATGTTTTATTATATTGTTACTGTTTTGAGCTTTTACATATAAAGTATTTCAAAATGGCAATAGTAACTGTGTTTATGGCAATTTACTTTGAATTTATGACTGAATGATATTTGTAATGAGATAAAAATAATAAAACTAAGACTAAACTAAAAGAAATCTTAACCAAAAACTACTACTAACTTCAAAAATAAATTAAATTAACATAACTAAACTAAATGAACTTAAAACTGAATCAAAGAAACTTAAATTAACCCAAGCAAACTTCAAATAAAAACAAGAGAACTTGAATTTTATTAATTATTGGCACTTGTATTTATACATGTTTTTGTATTATAATAACATAGTAATGTGCAATATAGTTATAGTATAGCACGTGATACTATAAATTTATGCTATTACTATGAAATTATTAATTTTTTTAAATTACATGAAAAGCTAATTATATTAATAGTAAAAATTGAAAATAAAAATCGAATAATTATAGAAAATAATAAATATGTCAAGAGAATTGCATAATTAATATATCCTATTTAAGATAATAATAAACTAAATAAGAAATAATAAGAAAGAAAAAGAAAGAAAAAAAATATTTTTGATTTAAATATGTAATCAAGATATCATTATAACTGATTTAATATAATTGCGTTTCTCATTTATATATTTATTATATTGAATTAGTAATAATATATTTTAATTGATTTTCAAAATATTTAAAGATATTTATAATATTTAAAAAAATATTTATAATATTTTAATAATATTTTATAATTATTAAATTAAATGTGTTAAGTACTAAAAGTATTAATAATAAAATTACTAAAAATTGATAACAAAATCACTAAAGATTAATAATAATTATATTTTTTAATATTATAATCTAAACAACTATAAAGTATTTTCAAAATCTTGAAGTCAAAATATAAAGATTATAATATTCATATTATAATAATATAATTAAAAACAAATTTATGAATTATAATAATAATTTCTTTATTTAATTATAACTTTAATAAATTTTGTTACAAGTATATTGTTATTATTCACTCTTTTTCTTGATCACCTGATATGAGATATTATTAGATTCCAAGTGATATTCAATCAATTTTTATTTATAAATATTTATTTATTTATTTATTTTTAATTATATTTTATTTATATCTAGTAATATTATAAATTACTAATTATTTTATTTATTTATTATACAATTTTTATTAATTATTAGTTATTATATTTTATTAGTTCTTGATTTCTAATTATTAATTTATTTAATTTTAATTATTAATTCATCTAATTTATTTAATGTAATGCCAATGTTTCACTAATTTTAATTGTAATACTTAGATTAATTTGTATTATATTTATCATTTCTTGGCATTATGCATGTTATAATTTTATTATTTTATTAGTTCTTTACATCATTACAAATCTTATAAATTTATATTACTTTAACATGTATTTAAATGAATATAATTTAATATAGAAAATTAGACATTTTGTAATTTATCTTTGGTTTTGACAATAATAAAGAATAAATCAGATTGCTGATTATTCTAATTATCTTATTTTTATTGAATTTCTTGTCTTTCTTGTTATAATAATTTATTATATGTTAAATTATTATTTATATTAGTTATAAAGCTTCACTTGTAAAATTATAAATACAATCTTTATCACATACCATTGAAACTCGTATTTTAGAAAGACTTATATTATATACTTTTGCATGAATACAGTTATTATCACCTATCTTATAAATATCTTCATCAGCAAAGACTACAAACTAATGATAATATAAATACAGCTGGTCTTGTAGTTATAAAAAAGCAAGTTATAGCAATTAATCCAACTAATAACTTAAATAAAATTAAATATCTATTACTTGATTATTTTTATTAAATCTTATAAACAAATAAATTAATTACATAAAACTATATTATTATTATTTGTATTTATTACACACTATTGAACAATCATCAAGTTGTTATAGAATATCAGTACTATATTACTATAAAACTATCCCATATTAAATAGATATAATATTTATTAGTAATAGTAAGAGTCTATCTTGATGATAGAAGAAAATGCACTGCATGATAATCTTGAAGTACATCAACTATGATGAGATCAAGTAATTGTAAAATTTCCATTATTAGATGTTGATTGAATAATTACATTATGATAAAGAGTTCAATTATAATAGTATTCACTCACTTGTTCACTTGATGATTATATAGTTAAATTTCTCTATAGTTATTATTCTTGGGAAAGCACAATTTGATGACTATAAAGAAAATATGACTATATAGGAGTTTTTTTTACTATATTTATATGTAAATGAAAAAGTAAAATAAAGTGATTATAGAGAAATGTGACTATAAATAAATGTGATTATAGAAAGATTTGACTATATATTGCTCATTTATTTAATAATTATATATCACTCATACTAATATTATATAAATTTTATCATTAATATTGTCATAATATGAATATTTAGTTCTTATTTTATTGGTTAATTCATATCATAAATTTAATTGGATGATATTTTATTATATATTCTATTGGTTAATTTCATATTTATATTTTATTGGATAGTTATTTTTAGATAGTTGTTATTTTATTGGACAAT